TCACATGCTTATAACACTAGCTTTTTAACAAGTCCAACATCAAAACCAATTTCCAAAATAACCATAACACAAGTCTAAAACCAGTAACATTTATACGGACTACCTAAATTTAGTGTGATGAAAGATGCTATTTTTCAGAAGAAGGTAAACTACAGCCCAGATTCAACATGTTGAAAGACTGTTAAAAAAACAAGTTGAAAGACTTTTTGCTGCTTGAACTCACAAAACCATACTTCAGCCCATCAGGTCACCCAGATTAATCTGTTAGTCACATTTTACAACCCCCACTGTTCTTTTTCCTTTATCCCCCATCCCCCCACACCCCTAAATGATTAATATAACATGACTTGGAGTTGCTGTTTCTTGCTTTATTATATGTTTTACAATGAAGCGAAGATGCATTACCTTTATGTGATTTGTTTACTTGGTGTGTTACGATATACTTTAATAATTTATCATTTATACTTTTAATACTTTATACGAGTATCTATATATTCTACTTTGTAATTCAAACAGCAGATTCAAATGCCTTGTTGTGGGGCTGGGGAGATAGCTCAGTGGTCTAAGCATCTGCCTGGCCAGCTCAAGGATACAGGTTCGATCCCTGGTGCCTCCAGTTCCATGCAGGCCACTGAAAGTGTGGTGGCATGTGCCTGTAATCCCAGCACTGGGGAGGCTGAGACAAGAGGATCACTAGGAGTCTGAATTGCATAGCAAGACCCTGTATCAAACAAATAAAATTTTTTTAAAAAGTGTTCTGCTTTATCAACTTCACAAGTCACAAAGACTTGTTACTTTTCTAAAAAATTACAGCCAGCATGTAGTCTCGGCTACTAGAAAGGCTGACACAGTTCCTGATCAGACTAGCAACATACAGAAGCCCTGTCTCTTAAAAGAAAAGATGTTTTTTCCTATTTTTATGAATTTGGAATTTTTATTAATATTCATTGATACTTTTTTTTTTTTTTTTTTTTTTTTTTGGCAGAACCAGGGATTGAATTCAGGCCCTTGCGCTCGCCAGGGAAGCACTTATTCTCCTGAGCCATTGCCCCAGCCCTTGTTGGTACATTTTTGACATACATAATGACGACACTCATCACAGGGAATTTGTATCTGCACATGATTGTCTTAAGTCATTTTTTTTTCATTTCCCTTCCCTCCTTTCAACACTTTTCTTCTTTAATAGTTCAAATCTACCATTTCTTCTTCAATCTGTATTTCCTTCTTTCCCTACCCCATCACCCTCCCTTGTTCCCCTTCCAATTTGAACATTTTCTTCCTCCTTCCCGATATCTGTCTACCGGTTTCTCGCACAAGAGAAACAATGTGAATTTTTTTTTTTTTTTTTTTTTTTTTTTTGGTGTAACCAGGAATTGAACTCAGCCTGTAACTAAGCCATCTCCCCGGCCCCAACAATGTGATATTTAAATGTGTCCAACTTATTTCTTTATGTTCTCAAGGGGCATCCATTTACCCCAAAAGCTTCAAGCACATCCTTTCTTATAAGAAAGTAGTACTCCACTATATATTAAAAACCACCATTCCTTTTAAAAGAAAAACTGTGAAACTTTTTAAAAAGTACATCCCGGGCCAAGGGTGCGTGTAGGTGTGCAGCGCTCACGGGGGATGCTCAGTGCTCTGGGTTCACTCCCAGCTGGGGAGTGGAGCACACCATATCCAAGCACACACTCAGCATCGGAAGTTTATAACACTGACAACTAATACACTAATTTCAACAACTGCAATCTACTACAGCAAGTAAGAAAACAGGCTTTAGAATACACCTAGATTGCAGTCTGCTTCTATTCCTAGGAAGCGTTATGACCTTGGGGAAATAATTTGACCTTTCTAGACCTCAGTTTTCTCATCTGTGAGATAAGAGACACACTGGCCCATTACACAGGTACTGTGGAGATAAAAATGCAAAAATCCAGAAAAAGGAGAGCAGTACAATCACCCAGCAAGACAACAATAATTGTGCATTTCTAAAGAAATGTTTTCAAGAGCTACTCGGACAAACCACAGTGAAATATAGGCAAACACCATTAGAACCTTAAAGTAAAATATACAAGTGACATTCTTAATTGATACATTCAATGAGTTACATCCCAGTTCTGAGGACAGCCACCCTCAAAAAAAGACATTTGAGAGGCTGGGGAGATAGCTCAGCAGTCTCAGCGCCTGCCTAGCAAGCACTAGGACCCAGGTTCGAGCCCTGGTACCACATGCTATGCCGGCTACAGAACCCCCAGCAGCACTGTACCAGTCACCAAAACCAGACATGGTGGTGCACACCTGTAATCTCAGGGGTGGGGAGGCTGAGAAACAAGAACCACTGTGAGTCTGAGCTGTATAGCAAGGCCCTGCAACAAATAAACAAAATAAAAGACATCTGAGTGGATATTAAAAATCACAATTCTCCGGCTCAGCCTGAGAGGAGACTGCTTCTTCTTTAATGAGGTCTCACTATGCTGCCTAGGCCAGCCCCGAACTTGATCATCCTCCTGTCTCAGCCTCTGGAGTAGCTGGCATAACAATCATGTGCCACTTTGTGCCACTACAAACGGTGTGAGTTAGCTATAATGAACCCTACCTACTGGTTTGTCCTGCATAGTTCAAGTTTGTAACTTCTTACGCTCATATGATTATTAGTGGGACCTGTTTCACAATAAAAATTGTCAAAAGACTGATAAAATTCCAGGGCTGTCCTACACATAGGCCCATTGCAGAAACGGAACAGGGGTGAGGGACAAAGCAGAGCTGTGCTAAAAGCGAGCGGTCTGCAGGTCCCTCCAGGCCACCTTCCATGCTTTGTTCAATGAATGCACAAACCAGGACACTCTTAAAAAATGATCTCAATTCCAACCAAATATTCAAACGCAGAACTCAGGGAAAAGCAAGCGGCTGGTCTTCTTTCTTCTTACTTCAAGGGTGCCTGGAGCCTACTCTGTATGAACCTACTCACAGAAGATTGTAAAAAGTGTTCCATTCATCCTTTCCAGGAGCCTGACTGCAGAATCACCACTTGTTGAACCTTCTTGACAAACAACAGTACCGGCAGAAGCCTGGGTTCTTTTCCTATGCTCACAACTGCTTGGGCAAGTGGGGCAGGAAAACAGAAAGTTGGACGCTACCCTGAGCAACTGAGAAGACCCTGTCTCAAAATACAAAATCAAAAAAGATAGGGATGTCACCCAGTTGCAGTCTTTGGCCCCCAAAGAGAATCCTTATTTGCCAATACTTTGAATAATGTCATAAAAATTCAGATTTCCACTTTTTCTTGAGAAATGCAAAGTTCCTACAATACTTGCACTGATCCTGCCATTTCCAGCTGGAGCAGAACAGCACCTAGAGAAAGGACACTCACTATCCAGTCCCGCACAGTCCTCTCCCACCCTCTCCCAGGCATGTGAGTTTGTAACCTCCCCTCAGTGGTTGGAGATCATCTCTCGGGAGACCATTTTTGTCCCAGCAGATTAGTCATCATCTACCAGAGGGTCTCTCATTCAAAACAGGAATCAAGAACTTATCTGGGAAATGAGAAAAAGCAGCAAATTTGATTTTTATTTTCTTCTATCAAAAGTGATATGGGGGCGCTGGTCTCCACCAAGCTATCTGGCTGGCCCTTCAAATTCTATATGTCAAAGCTAACAAGTTTCAGGCAATAGAGCACAAAATGAAGTGATTATGATTTTAAAATAATTTCTAGTAAACGATTTGTCAAAAGTTGTGATCACAAAAAAAATTTGATCACAAACCCAAATCACTCCCTTCATGTAGGGACTTTGGATTAATAACATACTTGTTCTACAGTGTAATTGGAGAAATGGAAGGTAAAGAATTTTTCTTCAATTCTACTGCAGGCTTTTTGTGGAAAACCATTGGTCAAACAGAAATTATTTCAGTTTTAGATGCTAGAACTATAACGCAAAAAGTTAAAACCTTATTTATAGCATTTTTATCTATTAATTTCTCAGCTACCAAAGAACTTTCACTGTCACATGGTGCAACCAGAGACTTTATTTATATTTAAATAATCCTAACAATACCCCCTCAAGAATCTAAAGTACTTTGCAAACACTGTATAACCATTTCTAAAGCAGCATTTTTAGGTGCTTTGATATTGTTTAAAAGACTGTAGTTTTTTAAAAAAACCTGTTTTCAAAGGCACAATCACAGTGGTAAAGTTTTCCTCTTGCTGTTAGATAAGGGCTCTGCCAGTTTATAAGGAAGTAAAAGTTCTGTTTTGCAACAGAATACTTAGATTTAGTAAACTCTGACTACATAAGGAGAATAAAAATAGAATAGAAAAAACGCTTTTCAAAGACATTTGCAATCTCTTCCACACTGATTTTAAGTCACCAAATACTATGTACTCAGTTTGTCTCCAATACAGGCGTAAACTGCAAGCAAGGGGCTCTCCTTCCCACTCCACTTGCAAACGCAGACCCTACTTTCTGACCATCTGCTCGGAGCTGGTAACTCCCCTAGGCCCGGTCCCCGCTAGGACATCGCCCCCGGGCCGGATGTCTGCAGGTGCTGCGGCCAGGAGGACGCGATCAGCCGAACGGGTTTGGGTGAAGGACTCGCCCCGATAACTACACTGGGGCCTCTAGGAAGCCCACCGTCCCCCGCGTTCCCAATTACACACACAGACACACACGCACGCGCGCGCGCGAAGGCCGGGCCAGACAGCTCTGGTCCCTCCCAGACACAGCGATCCTCGGGACGCGCGCTTCTCGGGTTCTTCAGGGGCGCGCCACCTCCTCCCCCGCCCCGGGCGCCTCTGTCTCTCAGGCCCCGCGGCCGCTAGCCATTGCTCCTGCGCCCTCTCTCCTGGTTCTGCGTCCAGAGCAGCGGGCGAGCGCGGCCCTGGAGCGCGCCACGTGGAGCGCGCACCCGCAGCCCAGCCCCCGCCCGTCCTCCGCGTAGGGTCCGCGTCCCTCGCCCCGGCTCCTGCAGCCCCACTGCCTGGCCCACTCCAGGCGCCCCGGACTTGCCTGGTTCGGGTCTGAGGCGCGGAAAACATGGCAGGCCATCTGCGACTCGGGGTCGTCGGGCTGCGCCTTGATCAGGTAGGCAAAGTAGGTGAGGTCCTGGCTGTTGTGGATGAAGCGCGAGATGTGCTGCGCCTTGTGCTCGAAGATGAACACGGCCGGGTTGGGCTGCGCGGCCGCAGGGCTGCCGCCCCCCTGGCCTCCGGACCCCGGCGTGGGGACGCAGCGCAGGAAGGGCGCGCTGAGCACCAGGAGGACCTCGCGCGCTGCCCCGCAGCCGCCGACCTCGGGCTTCTGGCTGCGCCGGCGGATCTCGGCCATGAGCCAGGGCAGCATGGGCAGCGTGGTCCTGCGATCCAGGCAGGACCCTCCCACGTAACACAGCCGGAACCGCTTGTCGCCCGGCTTCCCGAGCCCCGGCTGCGCTGTGGCGCCCGGCTCGGGCTCCAGGGGGTGCGGGAAGGGCTCATCCTGAATGCAGCTGGGCGGCTCCATGGCGCGCCCCACCAGAGCACCGTGGTAGCCCGCCGGGCGCGCCGCACCCCCAGTTCCCCCTCTGCGGGCGAAGCCGAAACTGTGCCAACTACTGCTCCGGGCCCCCGCGCGTCGGCGGCCCTTCCCCGGGCAGCGCTGCTCCGGGCGGCTGAGAGCTCGAGCTGCGGGCGGCAAGGCGAGTGCCCAGCAGCGGGCGGGAGGGCGGAAGGCTACAGGGGCGCGCCCTGCCCTCGGCTCGTGTCCGGGTCACCACCCCTTCCTCTGCCGTCGCCCGCCGAGCGAGCACCAGCCCAGGGGTCCCGCTGCCGCCCGCCGGAGCGTTGCAGCCCTTCGCGGCCGCGCGACACCTCCCCTCGCCTCGGGCAGACACTGAGGCTGGGCGGGGACTGGGGCGGTGCGCGGGAGGGGGCGCGCGGGGCGGAGCTGACTCCTACCAGGGTGACCGGCTGTCACCTGGAAGGTCGGGGCTGCCGGCTGCGGCGCGCTCGTCCAGGGGAAGGGCCTGCGAGAACTGTTCCGGTGAAAAACAAAAACAAAACGTGGCCTCGCCGGGCCGCTCCTCCTCTAGGGCTGCTGCAGCCCAGCCTGCTGCTCCTCCTCCCACGGTTCCCGTCCCTCCCTCGCTCCTTCCTTCCTTCCTTCCTTCAAGCTGCGGCTCTGACCCGGCTGCTAGCCCGCCTTCCGTCCCGCGGCGAAGAGCTTTGCTGGCCGAAGCTTATCTGTGAATCGGCTCCTCCGCCTCTTCTTCCCGCCCCAGCCCCTCCGTCTCGCCCCAGGGACAGCAGTCCTGAGCTGGCGCGGGCACTGCCCCAGCCCGCTTGGCCTCTCCGTCCTCTCCTGGGCGTCTCTGCTGCCCCCTGGAGAGGGGACCGCTCGCACTGAGGTGCTGGGATTTTTTTAAAAAAACATTTTTAATTGATTTCAATTCCTTCTAAAGCCTGCATATACCTGCTATATTTCCTAATCATCTCAGAAAACACTGGTGATTATTAGACTATTAAAATAATACAAATGTTCACTTCTAAATGTAACATTTTTGACAACGTGAATCTTCCCAGTGCTTAATGCCACTATTTTAAAAGTTATACTGTTACAGATTCTTTGTCCTCTTAAATGTGGGTATGAATGCCCCTCTAAAATAAAAACCTCAAAAAATTTTCAGGGATAACTTGATCATTTTAACCTTAAAAGAAAAGTAAAGGATTATACCTACTCGAGTTTTAGCAAATTCCAGATTCTCTTTTTCCTCTGAGTGGTAGTTAACAAACAGATGAGATATGAGAGAAAAACACGAAGCAAAGGGAGAAAACATTGAACTTTCACCGCAGAACTTGTAAAGAATGAAAACTTGTTCGATGTATTGTAGTGTAATGGTGTTCTCCCCTTTTTTTCCTTGTGCTTGTCTAAGATCAATATGATCAACTGCATTACTCTTGTGCTGAATTTTTGAGGGCACCCTGATGGCCTTTTATTAATAAACATCTAAATTCCAAGATGGAGAATAGTTTTTGTTGTTGTTGTTGTTGTTGTTTTGGGGGTTTTTTTGGCGGAACTGGGGATTGAACTCAGGCTCTGTCTCCTGCCAGGGAAGCGTTTATTCCACTGAGCCATCTCCTCGGCCCCAGAGATAGTCATTGATGGGAGTAAGTCCTTTGATTTAACCACTCCAGAAACCTTCTGCAAAATGGACCCATCCCTTTAAAAAGCAATAAAAAGTTCTTAGAACACAGAGTTCTCCCTGGACCTTACCAGAAACTCATACATAAATCTCATTTCCCTAGGCTGCATAGCTGAGATTTATGGAAGAGGAAAAAAAAAAAAAAAACAGGAAAGCAAACAAACTGGAAAACCACAGAAATCTTGTAGAGTCCACAACATCAAGCAGCTTGGGAGCTAGGATTGAATTTAGAGTCCCAGCCAGGGATTTCCTATTGGCATAATAAAGAGAAGCCACAAAGAACAAACACTCACTTATTATCAGAGAAATAGAATTGTCATTGATGTTATGACACACTTCCTGCTCTGCGATCCCCTCGACTATTTCTTTGAAACGTGTCTGTACTGTTTACCTTACTGTGTGCTGGTGCACATTGCCACTGTTCACCAGCGTCTGGTCCCAGCTGCACCCTGACACTTGGGAAGATAGCTCTCTGCCTTCTTGAAGTTATTCACGTTCTCAAGACTTGTTCAGACAGTGAAATGTGAAGAGAAGTGTCCTGGGTCACACATGGGATAGAAATAGTTGCCAGCACAGTAGTTAACAGCCCACTTTTGTTCTCCAGGGGTTACAATGAGAATATGTCCATATGGAGGTGACCCGTGATCAGCCCAGCCCAGGGTGCTGAGCCACCGCCCTTGAGACAGCTGTCATTGTCTGCCAGCAAAGTAGCCTCCTCAAGCATATGAAATAAACTTTTGTTCTGATAAGCCACTGAGATTCCTGGCTTAGCTGCTACCTTGTTATTCATCTCTTATCCTGCCCTGTCAAATAAAATTATACTCTAGTACATGTTTAATGTTGTGTTATAGTCATTTACACATTTGACTTAGTACCTGCAGGAACTAGATGGTAAACTCTTAGCTTCCTGCCATTATTTCACTTGCAGAACTTACAGCATTACCCATATATAAAAATTACTCAACTGTGTATTGATCAGTGGAATGTAGAAAAGGATAGGACAAGATTAAACTAAAACACTGGCGACTGGGCGTGGTGGTGCGCACCTGTAATCCCAACTCCTAGGAGGCTGTAAACAGGTGGATCACTACAAGTCCTGATCTAGTAGTAAGACTCTAACACCCTGTAGACCCTTCCCTAAAATACAATAATAATAATAATAATAAACTAAAACACTGGGTATCTACTGCTCAGAATATACAAGAGCAGGGTGTTTGGTGCAAGTTGAGGTAATAACGCCCCCTATGGCCCCCAGCCCTCACACTCAGCCAAACAATGAGAATGCTCATGAAAAGCATTTTAGACGGGATGGTACCCTAAAGTAAACTTCACACACATTTTTAAGGTGCTGCTCTAATATCCTAGTTTGAATTACTGGTGACAGTACTAATTAAAATGTAAGCTGCATTCAAATCTTATTTTAAAAGTTTGTACAGCATGAGAAACATGAAGGTCTGATCACTGAAGTGCTCTCTCATTGTGCCTCTCTGTCCCTCATCCTGTAACCCCCACAGCTACTTTCTCCCACTTTTCTTCCCTGTGAAATTATTACTATACACACAGTTCAATTCATTCTGCCTCTTTTCCCCACACTGTCACATCCAGACAACCTGGCCCCTTCTCCTGATGGCCTTCCTTCTGCCTCCACAACTTGAATCCTCCATCTTTCACTATCTAATTCATTATTCACGTATTGATGACCCAAATCTAGGGTCATCGCTTCTGAAGATATATTTCTTTCCTTTTGGACCTGGAGTTTCCGGCCTCTTCTTTGGTGCCTGTCTAGTGCTCACTACATTCTTTATAATTACTGGGTATTTGTGTCCCTGACAAAAACAAAAAGTATCTTGAGAGAAGGGATTGTTGGAATATGTGACATTGAATAAATCACTGATTTTAATTTAAACTAGAGAGTAAGAAAAAAGTCATTATCACAGAGGTCATATGCCTATGTATTAATGAGCTAGTTTCTGGTTAAGATACTAACTAGAACCATCTGCTAATTACAAAATGCTAGAAAATAACAGATCTCTCCCCAGAAATGTGATGGAATTCTAGGTGGGGATGGTGAACAGCACAAGCATTTGTGATTTAATCTGATTTCAGATGCCAGCAGGGCTCTCCTCCAGTGTTCCCTGCTCCCTGTGACCTTGCCCCAGCCCCAGCAGCTGGGGCATTCCATCTTCCTGCTTCAAGGAAGGGATGACACAGCAGAACAGAGAGAACAAAAGACTCCATTCTTAGCCTTCAAGCTTCAGAAGCTAAGGAGCTGGCACAGGCAGTAGATTTAGAATATATGCTCTAAGAGGGTTTTTTTGTTTTTTTGTTTTTTTTTTTTTTTTTCTTGCTCTAGATATGAAGTTTCCCCAAACTTGGAAGATGGATTAGAAGAGGAAAGAAGAGGGCTTATGTCCTATGGATCTCCAGAGAGGATATCTTGCTTGCGTCTCCCTTGGCTGAGCCAATGAATGGGGACCATGGAAGCCCAAACAGAAGTCTGTGCTTCTTCTTCCCAGGAGTTGCCCAGAACCTGGAAGACCTCAGCCTTTTCTCATGCCCATCATGGACAGAGAGCAAGGGAAGAAAGGGGAAAGTTCAGAAACAGCCTCTGGAAATGACCGATATTTATACAGGGGAATAAAACTCCCAACCTAAAAGGTACCTAGGATGAGTTCGTGTTCTCTAAAACTGAAGAATGAGTTTTAGGAACAGGAAGTTAACAGCAGAATATATTTATTGGGGGAAAGAAAGCTCCTGTCCAAGAGAGGGACAGAAGAGGGACCTGAGCAGGTTGCCCCTGGAAGCTATCTCTTCCAGGGATTTTTATAGAGTAAAACCGTGTGGTAAGGTCGCATAGGTGAGCATGAGGTGGGACAATACTGATGAACCAATGAGATTACAAGCACCATTGTTCAGATAAAATTGATTAAATCCAATACCAAATGAGGAATCGAGTCACATAGACATGGACATGAATACGGAATAGGGTCTCTTCCTGTTGGCCATTGGGTTAGTGACTCATTCAAGCTCTTTCAAGGTTATTTTTTTTTGGGGGGGGGGGGACTCAGGATCCCTTCAGGGCAGATCTGGTTTGGCTTAAAGATGAGGGGATCGAACCACAGCATCCTGAACCTGACTGCTTTGTTTCAGCAGGCACTTAAACACCTGAACTAATGGGCAGGCCTCCTCAAGGTGATTGACACCTATTTAGAATATCAATCCCTAATGGCCATCCCTAGGGAAATATGTGGCTGCACTCGTTTACTCTTTTGTCCTGAGGTCTGACCCAACGTGGGAGTGTCTGTCTCTTCCAAAGTTGCAAAGTCACTTTGTCTTCCATATTGTCTGCTTCAGGGCCTGGCCCTGTCTGACTGCTTATATATTTCTAATTTTTTTTTTTTAATTTTATTTATTTATTTGTGTGTGTGGCCAGCTCAGGCCCCCAGGGGGCGGGGCTGGCATGTGGTGCTGGGGGATTGAACCGTGGTCCCTTGTGCTTTGCTAAGCTTGTTCTAAGTAGGTGCTTTAGACCACTGAGCCATCTCACCAGCCCCTATATTTCTAATTTAGCTGCCTACAACAATATGACCTATATGACAAAGGGACCAGCAACCTGTCTTCTTGCCCAAGGGAAGAGGGACAGAGAAGCCAGAGTAGCACATGGAACAGGCCTTGCTATCAGGAAAATAACAAGGCAGTGACCATGCTGACTGCTACCCCTGGCTACACCTACTAGTGTTGTAGGCAGGAAAATTAGATAGAAATATTATGGGCAGTCAAACAGGGATAGGCCTTCAAGGAGATAGCACAGAAGACAAAATACCTTGCAACTGTGAAAGATACAGATGCTCCTGCGGTGGGCCAGACCTGAAGACCAAAGA